TGATATGTTCATTATAAAAGAAGTCAGATTCAAAAGGCTACAAACTGCATGATTCCATTTATATAACATTCTGGAAAAGGCAAATGATAGAAGCAGAAAATATATCAGAAGTTGTGAGGAGCTGGATATAGGGAACAGGACTGACTGAAAGGGGAGTTGGGGGAATTTTTTTGAGGTGATGGAACTGTTTTATACCTTGATGTTGCAGAGGTTACAAGACTATGTGTGTTTGTCAAAACTCAGAACTGTACTAAAAAGGATGAATATTACTGTATGTAAATTATACCTTTACAAGAAAAAAAGAGAGAGAGTATATGGGTAAACTCTAGGTTCAGTAAGACTTACTGAACTCCGCCTCTTTTAATATGGACCTTGGATACATACTCAAACTCTTTAAGCATCTCTTTTCTCAACCATGAATTGAGAATAATAGGATTTACATCTTACAGTTGTTAGCTTTCCTGTTGCTGTGCCATCATTAATTATTATTACTGTTATTATTAGTAGTAGTAGTATTACTACTTAATCCTCAATTTTATCAATTTTAGAGAGAGAGAAAGGGAAAAAAGGGAAAGAAACATCCATGTGAGAGAAAACACTGATCAGATGCCTCCCATACACACCTGGACCAGAAATTGAAACCACAACCTAGGTATGTGTCCTCACCAGGAAACAAACCCAAAGCCTTTTGGTTAATGGATGACACTCCCAAGCAACTGTACCACCCAGCCAGGGCTATTAATTATTATTTGATGTCCTATTATATACCTAAGATTGTGCTTGATGTCAAGGATACAGAACTGCATCTATGACATGGTGGCTACAGTCTAGTGAATAAACATCTTCTGAATGGACAAATGAGAATGATTGTTTTATACTGTTTTTATGTTATTACAATGCCTTTGGATTATTACAATGATTGCAAAAATTGACATGTGTTAAGAATTTGTCAAGCCAAATTTATGTTAAATTTTTTAAATATTGTTGAACTTTAGCATGAATTTTCTAAAATACAAATGGACATCTCAAGTCAAATCTAAGAAATCCTACTGGTAGCCCAGATATTTCCAGAATTATCTTTACAGGTAATTTTAAAACACTTGAAATCATACTTACTTATATAGTTTATCAGATTCAGAAAGAATATTAGCCTACCTTGTTTTTACCAATTTATTCTAGCATTTAATATTACTTTAATTTGAATAAGAATATCAAGGAAGCATAAAAAGAATATGAAGATGTTTCCTCATTTTTCAAAACTTACTATATCTGATTAAAACATTGTCTAAAAAAGATAAAGTTGACTTCTAGTCAAGATGGTGGCGTAGGCAGACATGGCTTGCCTCTTCCACAATCACATCAAAATTACAACTAAAATATAGAAAAGTCATCACTCAGAACCATCAGAAATCAAGTTGACCTGCGAACCAGACAATCGCGGTTCGATTCCCAGTCAGGGCACATGCCAGGGTTGCAGGCAGGTTCCCTGCAGGCCAGTTCCCAGCAGGGGACGCACGAAAGGTAACCATACATTGATGTTTCTCTCCCTCTCTCCTTCCCTTCCCCTCTAAAGATAAATAAATAAAATCTTAAAAAAAAAAAAAAAGAAATCAAGTTGAATAGAAATCTGACCACTACATAATTAAAGAAACCACATCCATCCAGACTGGTTGGAGGGGCACAGACATGAAATAGACTGGGTCCCTTACCCACATGTGGTAGATAAAAATTCAGCAGCAATATCTCAGGAGCAGGGAGTCCCAGCTGCACACAAGGCCCCCTAGCCCAGGATTCCAATGCCAGGGAGAAAAGTTCCCACAACTTCTGACTGCAAAACCCAGCAGGTATTGAGTGAGTGAAAGAAACATCTAATGCCCCAAACAGTCCCTCTTAAAGAACTCACCACAGACTCACCTACTCAGACTCACTCCCTCTGAGATCCAGCACCAGGGTAGCAGATTGAAAGGACCAGTGGTATACAGAGAGAAACTGAGTTATCTGGCATCAAGGTGAGCAAAAGTCATTGTCTGTTTTCTAAACCCTTCCCCCACAGAGCTGGCAAGCTGGTGCCATATCTGAGACTCCATCAGCCTGGCTAAAACTGTTTGACCCACCTAGGAGATCCACAGAAACTCTGTCCCACTGACCCACCCAACTTACAGGCCCACCCAAGCTGCTTTTTCATATGAATGGTTGGTCTTAGCTCATGCTTCATACCTTTCTAAATCCTCTCAAATAAGCCAGAGCTGGCCTCAGTGAGCCCCAGGCCTAGCATTAGCGTCAGTTTGCCTAGATTCACAGCTTGGCTTCAGCTGGAAATCTTCAAGCTCAGCACAAGTAGCAGCAGCCATCTCAGATTGCTTTATGCTCAGGCAGGGTGGCACTGGGCAAAACACAGGTGGGGGCTGACCTTGGCCTGCACCACCAGGGAAACCCAAGGGAAAGTGCACCCAGTGGACAGCTACAGACCACTTCAGAGCACCACCACCCTTTCCCTGCACAGCTTGATCCTCCATGGAGGGTGGTAGTTGGTAGTAAGTGGTGACAGCCAGTCCCTACAGCTCACTGTCCTGGATAAATCACTCCCATTGATCTGCCAACAGCAACCAAAGCTCAACTACAAAAGGAGGGTATACTCAGCCCACATGAAGGGTATACCTTGAGTGCCCAGCTTGGGTTATAGGGGAGGCTATAGGGGAGGTCTGGTGCCACGAGACCCTACAGAACACCTACTACATTAGGCAACACTACCAAGATGCAGAGTCAAAGCAGTTCTACCTAATATGTAGAAAAAAACACAGGGAGGCTGTCAAAATGAGGAGACAAAGAAACATGGCCCAAATGAAAGAACAGATCAAAACTTCAGAAAAAGACCTAAACAAAATGGAGATAAGCAATTTATCAGATGCACTGTTCAAAACACTGGTTATAGGGATGCTCAAGGAACTTAGCGAGGACCTCAACAGCATAAAAAAGACTGAGTCAGAAATGAAGGATACACTAATTGAAATAAAGAACAATTCACAGGGAAACGACAGTGCAGGGAATGAAGCTGGCACTCAAATCAATGATTTGGAACATAAAGAACCAAAAAACAACCAATCAGAAAAACAAGAAGAAAAAAATCCAAAAAAACTGAGGGTAGCATAAGCATACTCTGGGAAAACTTCAAGAGGTCTAACATTCACATCATAGGAGTGCCAGAAGGAGAGGAGGAAGAGCAAGAAATTGGAAATCTATTTGAAAAAAAAAAAGAAAGAAAACTTCCCTAATTTGGTGAAGGAAATAAACTTGCAAGTCCAGGAAGAACAGAGTTCCAAACAACATGAATGCAAAGAGGCCCACTCCAAGACACATCATAATTAAAATGCCAAAGTTTAAAGATAAAGAGAGAATCTAAAAAGCAGCAAGAGAAAAGAAGTTAGTTACTTACAGGGCAGTTCCTATAAGACTGCTGGCTAGGTTTTCAAAAGAAACTTTTCAGGCTACAAGGGATTGGGTAAGAAATATTCAAAGTCATGAAAAGCAGGGACCTAAGCCAAGATTGCTCTACCCAGCAAAGATATTATTTAGAATCGAAGGGCAGATAAAGAGCTTCCCAGACAAAAAAAAAAACTAAATGAGTTCATCATCACTAAACCATTATTATATGAAAGTTAAAGGGAATTGTTTAAGAAAAAGAAGATCAAACCTATGAACAATAAAATAGCAAAAAAACCCAAATTTATCAGCAATTGAATCTAAAAAACAAACTAAGCAAACAAGAAGAACAGAGACAGAATCATAGATACAGAGAACATTTTGATGGTTGCCAGATGGAAGCGGGATGTGGGAGAATGGATAAGAAGGTGAGGGGAGGGGATTAGGGAGTACAAACAGGTAGTTACAGAACAGCCATGGGATGTAAGATACAGTATAGGATATGGGGTAGCTAAAGAACCTATATACATGACTCATGGACATGAACAATGGTTGAAAGGATTGCCTGAGGGAGTGGGAGGTGTTGGGTGAGGATGGGGGCAAAAAAGAAAAAATCAGAACTATACTAGCATAATAATAAAATATAATTTAAAAAACAATCCAGCTAAGAGGAATCATGAAAACAGAGGAAGAAATTATGAAGTATTCCAGAAATGTCTGTTCCCCCAATGAGAAGAGAATTACTTCACCTTTACATTACATAAAAGATCCAGTAGTCTGTGTGAGTCCTGTAGGTATTACAACCACACCTCATATATACACACCCAACACCTTTCTCTGCATAGCATGCACTGCTCTGTCCTTTGAGGTAAAATGTCCTTACTTCAGACTCAGAGTATTAGAAGTATGAAACATTTATGCCAGAACATACTATAGCTACTTTTACGGAGTTAATTACAGTCTCAACATATTCATTTTACATTTATTGAAGGCCCATTATATGCTCAATTCTGACAGGATAAGCTTTATGGGCAATTTGTTTTAAATATGTCCTTTCTATTCAAGGCTAAAAGAAAATCGAGCTATTCTTATTTCAAAGATTTTCTATCTACTGTCATCTCACATCACGTCTCAGTGAAATACTGTGAGAAGTGTTCTTGGAGTGTTACCAACTAAAAATTTTGCAACAAGTACGGCTTTTTGCACAGGATTTCACACTGAATAATATAGTAACATCTAGAGATTCCTAACCTAGTGGAAAAAAGAGAACAATTTAAAATATATTTTAAAAAGCATGACATGCACAAGGGGCTTCTCAAACAGAACCCATGGGCTCATTTTCAACATTTCATTTGCTAGGAACTCTTGTTTTGAAATATGAATCTCACAAATATGGACATTCCAAAATTTACATATTGAAAATATTCCTAAGGATAACATCTCTCAAGAAAAAGCCAACAGATGGAAAGGTATAAGAGGGAGAAAAATAAAAGTCACATGACAACTAAAATAAAAATAAATAAAATGAGTAGAAATTTCCTTTGGATGAACCCAGAGAAAATGATTACTGGCTAGCTTACCTTGCTTTTTTCCATAAACATTTTCTAAAGTACCAGAGAGCTGGCTCTCAAAGCCATGTTCAAGACCACTCCTCTGCTTTTCAAGGTGATGTTCTTCCTCAGCAATAGAAGAAAGCACATGTGGTGGCTTTTGGTCATCATGGGTCTGATTGGGCCACTGGGATATTATGGAACATGAGTCCTTTGCATGTTGGCTAAGTCTAGGACTTGAACTTTGGGCAGAGTCCTGCAAATCACTGTTACAACAGGAAAAATGGTCCACTTCAAGAAACAAGGAATTTGTGTCCTCTTGACTCCAATCATTGCTCTGTTCTTCATCTTCAAAGTAAGTTTCCTGAAGCTGAATATTATCTAAGTCCTGGTCTAGTTTGTCATTCAATTTAGAGTCTTGTTTGCTTAAGTTGACCAGTGAGGCAGATAACACATCCCCCGCTTGCTGGAGAGTTTCATATACCCGAGAGATCCAGGAAGAGAGAGGCTGGAAGAAGTTTTGAGCATCCTGAGACGCCATGGCCAACACCATGGCCAGTGATCTGATGATGTCTAAAAGTCCACTTGCTCAGTTCCTTCAGTACTGTGGAGTTAATATGAACTACAGAAATTAAATTGGAGGTCTCTTAATGGCTGTGAACATTTCACTCTCAAACTTCTCAGCTGAAACAGAGGAAAGAAATACTTACACCTGTTAAAGTTACAATCTTGGACCCATCACCAAATGCCTACAATCAACGTAAAGGGCAATCAGGGACTAAAAGGAATCACCATTGAAATCCTAAGGTAGCTAAATAAAAATGACTGTGAAAGTTTAAACATAAATTATTTCAGTGGGTATTTACCTCCACAGGCATGTGAAAAAACTTCCATTACTAGTAATGGGCTCTATTCATGAGGACTGAGAGAAATCTATCCCCATAGCCCATACCTTACAGTGTGAAAAGAATAAATGAATCTTCATTAAAAAGCAGCATACAAGAAAGGTTGGATGCTTCATCTACAAACACACAGATCCCGGAGAGCAGGCTAATAAGCATCTCTGCTTCATGGCACAAAGATTTATCCCTTCAAAGGAAATGTGTGCCTGGAATTAAAAAGCTTTTAACAAATCTTAAAGTAGGATTTTATATGTGTATGCAATTTCTAGAAATTATTTCTATTCTTGAGGCACAGACAATCACTTAAAAATTGAGGATGGCAAATAGATTCCACAGCTTACGAACCTATTATTTGGTTGCCTTTGTCAATATTCCAACCTCCCCAAGGTACCCCTCCACAACCTATGAGATTAATGAGAGTTTGTTCTTCCCATCAGATTCACAACCTGAAGAAGGCAGTTCGAGGACATCAACAGAGCAACAGGGCTCAATGAAGGCTCAAGAGCTAAAAACCTATACTTCTACACACTTATACATGCATACAGACATATACTTATACAAGCATACAGACATATACATACTTACACATGTACACAGACATATACATTCTATACTTATACATGCATACAGATATATACATACATATATGTATATGATATATATTTATATATGGCTTTTAACTGCTCATCAACAGCTCAAGATGAATGTCATAAATGACACTGGAGCCTAAATTCCCTGCTTGTACTTAATTACCCCATCTCTTTCATAACAATAGCTTCCTTCTGACCAAATCTACCAACAATCCTGTAAGTTTCAGCCCTCTTGACCTCAGGCTACTGCATTTGATGTGATGACTGCCCATAGTCTCCTAAAAATGTCTCCTTCACTTTCGTGAAAACCATGCATGCATGCATTGATTTATTCAATAAACAAATATTGATTAAATGCCTATTAAGTGCTGGGCACAATGCCAGGTATAAGGTAACCCTGAGGTCTCTGTCCCCATGGAGCCCACATTCCAGTTATAGGGAAACTGAGCTCTCTGAACTTTCCCCTATTCTGAATAATTCATGTGTCTGTCTTTCAGGCTCTGCCTTGTCTCACCAGCAGCTGCATATGTGCCAGCACTCATTGTGCTCTGGTTTCTCCTCCCCCCTCCCTTTATATTCATCAGCTGGGAGAGTTGATCCATCCATAAGTCTCAATGAACATGTTTTTAAAAACTGTACAATATCCGTCTCCAGCCCTTAGCTCCTCCCTCTTCCTAGGATTGTATCTCTGGTTATCTAAGTCAGTGGTTCTCAAACTTTGCTGTGTCAGTACACCAGGTAAACTAATAAATAACAGAGGCCCAGGCTGGTTGAAGGAACAGACCCTGGACCTTCACATTTCTTTCGTTCCCCAGGTGATCCTGACAGCACCAAAGTTTCAGAAAGGCTGATCTGAGAAAATATACACATGGGTGTCTCACCAAATTCTCACATTCAGCTCATCAAAACCTAGCACAGCACTTTTGCAACCTCAACTGTTCAACACCCTATACTCACAACATTCTAGTGGTTGTGAATTTCTCTCTTCAACACTTCCCCGTTCCATTCTAAGTTCTGCTAGTTTAGGGTTTGTAAAAACTCTCTTCCATTATGTTTTGTATAGTTATCACCTTTCCCTGGTTGGCTTCGGTCTCTAGTCTTCCCAGCCTCAATCTGTCCTCCAGGTTTGCTTACCACAAACTGACCCGGTATCAAGTTGATTGACTGTCTCTTCCCCTAGAATATAAGTTCCTTGGAGCATAGGGGTGGCAAATTCTCAATAAGTAAATTAACAAATCCCACTTAAAATTGTACCTAGGACGGTGTCTAGTATAGAGTAGGTGCTCAAATTTGTGAAATCAATGAATAAGACCTACACAGAACCCTTGTTGAAAACGTCCTCCTGCTCCCACACAAACATCCTGCTTGGTAACACTCAGGACTTGTTTCAGCATTTGTTCCACCCCATTTCACCACCCACAGATTTTTTGTTTGGTTTTTCTCTACAAATATTTTGCTTAAATTAATACACTTCAGGACATCCCAGACCTAGGACAGTCTCAGAAATCATTGGGTTTAGTTTCTACCACTGTCTTGTAGGTACTTAAAACTTTAAATACAGAAATGACATATCTTTCTTAATAATTCAATAATCCTTGTTATTGCTTTATCACACAGAAAAAAATACTTTGTTTCTGTAGGCAACACAAAATCTTTGAATTGAAGCCAGCATTTTCTTGTCCACTCTTTGAAGTAGGTACAGCCATACTCTCAGTCTCACACCACCCTCTCTTCTGTAATCTCTGTCCATCAAACAAACCTTTGTGGCAATTTTTAAAAAAATAAATCTTGTGCCCTGGCTCATGTGGTTCAGCAGATTGAGTGCCAGCCTGAAAGCCAAAGGGTCACCAAATCAATTCCCAGTCAGGACACATGCCTGGGTTATGGGCCTGGTCCCCAACTGGGGACATGTGAGAGGCAACCGATCAATGTATCTCACACATTGATGTTTCTGTCCCTCTCTTTCTCCCTCCCTTCTGCTCTCTCCAAAAATAAATAAATAAAGTCTTTTAATAAATAAATAAATCTTGTATCACTCCTGTAGTTTTTTTTTAATGTTCTTATACTGCAAAATCTGAGCACTGGCAAACATTTATTTACATTTGTTGACACAGAATTCTTAAAAAATTAATTTTTGCCCTGACCAGTATGGCTCAGTTGGTTGGGCGTGATCCTGCAAAGCAAAATGATGCCAGTTCAATTCCCAGTTAGGGCACATGCCTGGGTTGCAGGTTCAGTCCCTGGTTGGGGGGTGTATAAGAGGCAACCAACCAATGTTTCTCTCTCACATCATTGTTTCTCTACCTCTCTTTCTCTCTCCTTCCCCTCCCCTTAAATACATACATACTACACTAATAAATCTAAAATTTTTATTTTAATGCCTCGAATACACTACAGTCCTCCACTTTCCCTGTTCCAGTTCTTACTTGCTTCACTCATTTATGTGTAGCCTCCCTACCAAATGAAACATTTGAATTTTTTAATCCTACTGTGTAACTTTACATGCTTTACTAAGGAGATGTGCTTTTAAAAAATTCATAATCAGCACAAACAAGAGGAGAGATACTCAGAAAATCAATGGTCAGCACCACTGGCCTAGGGGCCTCCTGCTGGGTGCCAACTTTTTAACTCTTGAATCACTGGGCATGAGGAGGTCTGTAGATGCAACAAAACCAAAGGACCTTATATCAGTGGCTGTTTATCAACCAGCTTGGAACTATTTCTACATTTTCACAACTCTCAGAGCCCACCCTTTGGTCCTGAATGAATGTCCAGCTGTGCATGAGCTGTCCCCGATAACACTGCCCCACAGTGAGGGCGCAGCCATTCCTCACCACTCACCACTGTACAGCCACACTCAGCATTTTCCGAAGTGACTACTGTCCCTAGACGGCCCGGCCAATCCTCATTCTGCACAACGAAATTCTTCTGTCCACTCTTCATCTACAATCAAGGGTGTGGCCTCAAGTACTTTGACTGTGCCTATGTAAGGTTTCTCTATGTGTGGTAACTATTTTTTCAATCTTCCTGTTCCAATGAACTGCGAGGCCGTTAGTGCTGGGACTGTGTTCACACTTAATAACTTCAGGTTTCACACAGGGTAGGAACTCAATATGCTTTTTTCTGAACGAGAGGATGAATGGTATTAATGAGAATGTTTAAATAAATAGGCCTGATTCTTTCGATTTTCTTCATCTGTAAAATGAAATTAACTAACTAGATGACTTCAAACAGTTTCTTTCTGCTTTGAAATCCATGAATTAACAGAAAGCATTGTAATATTGGGGGTGGATATATTCAGCATTAAGTAGCCTTTTCAGGGATTGAGTCTGTACTTTTGTCAATAACCACTGTCAGATGATCTCAGAGTGACTAGAAAGAGGCCAAATCTCAGTCTGTACAGGAAACAGTTTTGAGTTGTTATATTCCAAAATACAAAACAAAGGAAGGACACCCCCTGCTAGAACCTAAAAAACAATCCAGTTAGTGACACTGAAGACCTTTCATTTCTTGCTAAAGCAGTCCAAAGCCAAAAGGGCTATGCCCTCACATAGTAACCATGGAGATATCTTTGCTGCTTAGGTAAATTTCAATTTGATTGGTAGAGCACACCAAGCGTGATACCAGATTTATACCTGGTAACCCAGTTCTCTGGGGGCCTTCTTACAGCTGAGAAGATAAAGTGGCTTCTGGTATTATAATAATAATAATCATTTGTTTTAAATGAGCAAAGAAAAATAGACAAGAAAAGTCAGTTCAAATCCCCAATTAAAAGGAATCATACATATAAGGTTTGTGGCTGTTGAGAAGGCTCATTGTTTGAATAAAAATAGTCCATGACACCTCATTATTATGAGAAATGAAAACAAAACAATAAGAAGTATGTGTGTGTGTTCATGTGTATATGTTTAACATACAAGCTCCTACCACAAACATGTCCAGGAAAGGTCTACCACCTCCTGGTACTAAATAAACTAGCAATCTAATAAAGAATTAGTAACAACTGATAAATAAAGATGGGAGTAAAACCATTGATATATTCCTAGGGGCCACATTCCTCT